TTACAAGTAACGTGTTTAAATTGTGATCGCCTTGTTTCGGAAAATGAAACACGAGAGTAAAATATAGCTCGTGTATTTATTCGTCCTTTATCGAAATCGTTGTAACGTCGATAGTGATTGGCTCCGCGCGAGTAATTGTTTCGTAGCGGTGTACCTCGTTCACAGGGGTTGCGTACATGCACGATATCGACGTAATTGGCAGCAGTCGATACGGATGTGGTGTATCCATAGACCGGTAATCGGTAAATATATTATCGTTGCTTGCCAGGAACTTTGTGTTACAAATTCGAAGGTCGTGGACGGATGAAACGAAATCATATCGTTACCGTATCTCGCAATCTGTTTACTCGTTCCCTTTGTTGCCTATGGAAACGACAACGGTGTTTCGCAGAACAACCTCTACCGTACCTTTCCATGAAACATCGTTCAAGTATATTTTCGTGTAAAGCAGCGGCCTTCTAAACTTCCTTTCTTTCACGATCCCGTTTATGATTTTTCTCGCAACCCAAAATATATAAAATAAATAAAGTATAAATGAAAGAAATTGTATTATTCGTGCGATGTCGATTCTCGTGTTACAATTCCTGTACTAGTTCGCACTACAGGTCAGCGTTGCTGAATTTTCAAACTCTCACAAATATTTATACATTTTACATAAACATTTCGCATCTCCAAGATTTCGCTCATCGACCTCATTTGGGGTAGCGACCCCGTAGTTTAAAAAGGTCCGGTCTAAAGTATTCCACTGTAAAATTATAACAAGTTCGGTACGTTAAAAGAACAACTTTCCAAGGTCTTGATTTTCCAAGATTTCTTGATCTCTGTTGTATCTAACGTATCTATACACGTTTATATATATATTTAATAATACATATATTTATTATTTATTCCTATATATATATATATATATATATTTTTAGTCGTAACCCAAGTTTCCCCACGATAGAAAATTACATGCAGGCTAACATTTTGCTTATTGTACTTGTAACTTTAAATTTTCATTGACGTCATCCGGAAAGTAGAACGATAAATGCGGAATGATAAACGTGCGCGTTATTAAGGCCGAATATACTCGTCGCGATATATACGTGCAAATATATACGCGTTTGTACATGTTTCTTGGACAACTGGGTACCTCTACATTCTCGTCGCGCTATATTGTTCTATATCGATTCATGGTGGCCTCGTATAGAATTCCCACGTTCAGCCTCGCGTACGAATAAAGTTCGGCGATGGGTCTCCACTGTTCTCTCGACAATTGGGCGTATCCGTGTCATTGATATTTTAATTTGATATACGTATATATTATATCCAAGAATAAATTGACAAGGAATTAGTTCATCAATGGTGGAGAGGATCGTTGTACCGTAACGGTTCGTAACTTCGACATCTTGATGAATTTTAAAAGCTGTTATTTTATCGAATTTTAAAATCTTCGATTTCAAGTTCGATGGTGAATTGAGTTCCTCGAGTAATTTAGACAAGGCGTTTTTCGAAAGCACCGGAGTTAGATAGAAAGAGAGAGAGAGAGGGAAAGAGAAGGGGGTGGAAAATGGTGGCCAAGGAAGAAGGAAGGGCGGGTCGGCTGCAGGGGTTGCGCGCGCCTCCGCAGATCAATATTTCATTTCAGCCTCACCAGCCAACCCTTATTTCTGCGCTCTTCTTCTCGATTCCGCTATTGTACCTTCCGCAATTGCCTCTTTTTCTATTCTGCCGCTGTATCTAATTTCGCGTTTGCCGACTTCTGCTCGGGACCGCGATTCGCGTCTTAGACGTTCCATTATTTCATTTTTGTCGAAACTGACCACCAATCGGACATAATTTTGCGCGAATTCTTTGCAACAATCAGTCACAAGTTTCTGATTAATCATTGATCTCGGACTACGTACTCGGACACATATACACTCGGACATTTATCAAATTAAAATTTTAACACTGTGCTCGGAGTATTTTTATTCACTCCTTTTCCTTATTTTATATTTAAGGACAAACGGAATAACGTCAACAAATTTCAAGGCGTATCTCTTTCTCGCTACCGAGAAATAAATTCACGAGTACGTGAAAATTTCTCTCCAGGGGCAACGACCCTGAGTCCGGAGTTGCCGAGCCATAATTTGCTTACAAGATGGCCAACGTGTTTGCTCCACGAGCCACAGCTCGCGAGACATAGAAAATGAACAATAATTCTGGATATAAATAAAAGTATATCCGATTTGAGATCTAACGATTCGTTAGAATTCTCTTTGCTTTTAACCCTTTGCGATCGAGGCATTTTTCTATCGAATCAAATCCAGTCCGTTTTTATAATAAATTTCTGCGAAACCAAAGATTGAGAATTGGCCACACAAACCCATTGTTACGAAGTAACGAAATCACAGCCACCATTATGCACCTTTTGTGACGAACCTCTCACGGTTAAACATTCGATTGAAGAATGTCAAGGAATGCAGCACGATCGAGTAGAATTCAAACTTTTAAATAATATGCACACGATTCTCAACGGTAGAAACGAATTTCTCAAACTAGTAGATATATTAATGAAATATGAAATAACGAGTAAATTGTAATTTGAATTGTAAATATTAACTTGGCCACTAATAACCACGTAGTTGCTGTGACCTTAAACAAAGTAATTAAAAAAAAAAAAAAAAACTCTGCTTCCAAGAAAAACATCTACGAACGTTCACGACTCATTGTACATTATTTCAATTAATAATTAGTTGTATTCCGATGTAAGTGAATTTGAAATTGTACGTTCATAAAATCACTTTTAAATTACACATGTCACCCTAGAGACGCCACCCGAGCGCAAAGAGTTAAACAAGGAAGAATTATTGAAAATTACAGTAGACAAACATTCGCTCTATATTCGTTGAGAACTTCGTCCATAGCCAAGCCCTGTATCTTTAAATGGCAGCTGACGTCCGAATGCGTTATTTATTTCCAAAACGAACCGTTAACGCAAACCGGATATCACATGTCCGAGCACGTGCTCACGCGTCACGTTGGGGATTTGATTTTGCGCTGTCCCGTGGGGCGTCATAATTTTTCCAGGCCTTTTTATCACCGACAAACACAATTCGAAATTTTCTATCTAAACGCCTTCGAAACAGTTCAACGTTGAAATAATAACTCTACTCGTCGAGAATTTTTTGTTTCAACAAATTTCCACGCGTTGCATCGAGTCGTCGTTCAACGTTCTCTAATAGTGACCCGAACGAACGTTTTTATCTCGCCCGATTACTCGAGTTTCTCTGACTCACTAAATCGTGCCGGTCGAAGAGAAAATAAGTCACGGAACGTTCGCAAAAATGCAAATAACCATCGTGTCTCGGGCAGGATTTTCGTATTGTTCCGTTAAGTAGAACCTCGATATTCCGCGAAGTCATCCGTAAACGTTGCCCCGCGGATGACATCATTTCGAAGAAACATTACGAATAGCAAGTGACGGCAATTAAGAAATATTTCGCCGGGCTGCGAATAGGTGTGGAGCGGAAAGAGACAGGAAGTTAGGGTGGAAGACCAAGATGGCGAGTCGGGGTTAATTTTCCAACAGAATGGCTGAGAATACGTTCGCGAGTAACTGGAACGGAGAAGGAAAAGGAAGAAGAGAGACGGAAAAGATAAATTTATTAACCCGGGGGCTAATGGGATATAGAATAATAATTACTCGCAAGTATTACGAATTTCCTGCTACCAACCAGAGATGAATAAGATTCGCGAATGCGGAACGAAGAGAAGTATCGAATGAATGCACGAGTTCTGTTAAAAAGGACGAGTGCACCTAACAGAAATTATATCATCGGAAGACTTCACCTTCGCTTTGAAAAGCAGTCACCCCAGTTTCTAGAATCATCCTATGCATATCAAAATTCATAGGCAACATTAGAAATGCAAAGGAGCTACCGTGTATCGTCTTTTGTAACTTGACAAATATTAGTGTAATTCTTGCATGCTCTGTTGCAATTCGCTATCAAGTAGCATTGTAAGTTAATTAAATAGACGGAAGTAAAGGGGGTAGTGTCTCGTGTGCGCGACGATGCTTGATAACGCGTATCGCGTTTAATATTAGAGACAACCAACATCGAACGTATACCTAATTTCACCATGTCCATAAATTTGATAGTACCAAAGATAGCGTTGAGACATCATTATCCAACAAGACATCCGACGGAGTACTTTTCCAACAGCGTTATCCTCATCGCACGGAACAATTAGTCCGATACAATTTTTCCGAGCCGTTGAACGCGACCCTTAAATATTAAGTTAGATGACCCGAAAATTAATTCACTCATTTTTTGCTTCACGAGCTTCTACCAAAGAAACTTATCGACGTATATTAACGACATTAACGCTAGGTTCACGGAGATCTCTTATCAGATCTCTATTATCGAAGTAATACTTAAATAAGCAAGGTAGATTTATTAAAAATAAATTGGGAAGCTTAGACAAGGATAAATTTGAATAGATGCTTATCTTTTTAAATGGATCAAAATCCGAGTTAGTGATCGACGTAAAATATAAACGGTTCCCGTAGAAATATAAACGTAAAACCTAACGTTGACCGTGCAGAATAGACTTTGCTCCTAAATTTATTGTTACTCGTTAAAAGCTACGGAAAAAATGTGTTGAAACGTGAGGTGTAAGTTAAGGAAGGTGTCGGGCCCTGGTCGGAGGACAAACAGTACGTTTATTTATTTTATTTAGTCCCCTGGGGAGGTTGTGCACCACTGATTCTAGTGTTAAGCGCAGCGCTGCGTAACGTTAGCGCAGTACGTCGCGTCGCGACGCGACGCATCGCGTCCCATGTCTGGTGTCCCGGGACGGCCGTGTGCGCCGCTGCCCCACCCAGCCTTCGTTTAGCCGGCCATGCTGGGCGAGCCGATCAATACTTCGGCTCGGGCACGAAAGCCGCCGACGAAGAGCGACGAGTGCCGACGACGGTCGAGCGCGACCGAGTCCCGGCACGAGGCGCGCCGAGTCCCCACCACGAGCAGCGTTGCCGGCTCAGTCGCTGTGCGGGAGTGGTCACTGAGGGATGTGTGGTATCGTAACTGAGTGTGACTGAGGAAAAAGACCCGGCGTAGTTTCTCGCGTAATACGGTCTCGCTCTTTACCCCCCCGGACAAAAAGGAACTAGCAATATCAGAGAGAGAGTCTAGTCAGTTTTTCGGACCCCCTCCCGTTCGTCGCGCGAGAGACCACGGAATACGCTGATCGTGTATTTATTTAAATATTTATTGTACAAAAGACTTTAACTATAGGTAAGACCACGACGTTACGTCGTCGCAACGTTATTCTTTTTTCTTCTGTCTTCGTTCGCCGCCTTGTTCTGCCTCTTTGTTTCGCGTTTTCTCTTCGCTTCGCCAAATCCCCCTCCGCCTACAAGTTACATTGTGTTTCACGCATGCTGCCTACGGAGACGACCGCTTCTATCGAGCCGTGCTCCCTTAACCCTATTTTCCGAATCGACGATTCATCGTGGAATGTGCTAGAAACTGTGCTCGGCTTCCGCGAATAATCAAAGCCGTAACCGAGGAGGATATCGATCTCTTCTGCGGCATCGTGCTGCGACGTAGAAGAAGCGAGCACCGCAATGACGCCGATTCGTTTCGCCGGAAGCAACGAGGCGATCCGTCGCGTCGGTTTCTTTGTCCTCGGTTCGTTCCTCGACGCGAATCGCTCGCGAACGCCTCGAGGACGGGGCGTGTTGGCCAAGGAGAGAGTGTGTAGACGAGGAATTTCGCTCTCGCTTCGTGAAAGTAGCGCCGTGGCGCTCCGTTTGGCTCCCTCTCGAGTCGCGGTTACGACTACTACGACCATAACCTCAAATCATCGGCAACCAAACGTACGAGACGGTCTTCGAGCGAATTACGGGCGAAGGATTTCCGATGCGGGCAGAAAAATCATTCTTAATAATTGAGTCAAATTTAACGCGACTAAAATCGATTCGCCAAAGTATCGAGTTGTAACTGATTGATTTTCAATCGATCGATCGATTCGAAACCTTCATTGCATACGTATCCATATACATAGAAGATGAATCTGTGAATATTCCACAATTGTGTACGAAACGTGACGTTCATCCTCGAGTGCTGTTTCTGACAAACTCGATATATCTCCCTCGTAAGTTTTTCAATATTTAAATCGAGTTCGCACATTTATATCGCCAAGAGTATAAGCCTTAGAACCTTAGCGTACAAAAATCTGAAATTATCGATATTAACGCGTCAGTTTTCTTTCAATGAATTCCAAGCGTGATTTTCATCACATTTACATCGCCAAGAGTATAAACCTTAGAACCTTAGCGTAGAAAAATCTAAAATGATCGATTTTCTATTAAATCGATCTCCTAACCTCAAATCATCGACGAAGTTAACGCGTCAGTTTTCTTTCAATTAATTCGAAGCGTGACTTTTCGGCACATTTATATCGCCAAGAGTATAAACCTTAGAACCTTAGCGTACAAAAATCTGAAATTATCGATTTTCTACGGAATCGATTCCTAACCTCAAATCATCGACGAAGTTAACGCGTCAGTTTTCTTTCAATGAATTCCAAGCGTGACTTTTCATCACATTTATATCGCCAAGAGTATAAACCTTAGAACCTTAGCGTAGAAAAATCTAAAATGATCGATTTTCTATTAAATCGATCTCCAACCTCAAATCATCGAAGTTACTGCACACCTCAGTTTTCTTTCAATGAATACCAAGCGCGACCTACGGCCCGTCAACGTCCATCTCCATTTTCCACGGGAGCTTTGTACGCGCTAATTAATTCCGATCCGTTCTTTTTTTTTCTTTTGCGTAACTCGTTCAAGAATAAAGTCACATACGCGGTTAATAATTTACAAAAGTAATTTGCGTAATTGTCGTTCGCCATTTCCTTCACGTGTGTCTCGCGAGTTATCGATTCACGGCAGTCGTCCATAGAACGTGAAGAAATTTATATTTATCGTCTGCTAGAACAAAGCGTCAAGTATCTTCGATCTTCCGGAATACAGGCGATCGTAACACTTTCGCCGCGGATGACGCACATGTGCGTCCGACTGAAAATCTATGGTTGTTTTTATTATTTTTCAGTTTTCATTTTTTTTTTTTTTTTTTTGTTCGGCAATCGTATATAAAATAAGTTACCACAAATATATGTTTTTCACAATAATTATATCAGAACATTTGTAAGAAATTTTTCGTTAAAAAGAATATCATAATTGCAGCGAAAGTGTCGAAGTGTGCGTCAATTTACGTTAACAAAAATTCCTTTTAATTTCTTAGATTTAATCGGATATATGATAGTTATTAAAAATATACGTGGAACAGTTTTAGCATTGGAAGAGTCGAAGAATTATCGAAACCCGCAACGTAACGAGATAGGGATTGGGAGATAAAGCGCGTAATCTGATAAAATTCGTTTTTTATCGACAGTGATGTCACGCTTTCCTATCTGTGCGACATCTTTACCCTACAGAACCTCCTTTTACCAGTAATTACGATTAACATTACGCTCGATTACGATCCCGCAGTTTCGCGTGTGAACGGTGAGTCTGTCAGTGAACTTGGCATGCGGTTCGACTCGAGATTTCTAAGAAGACGTTGAATCACGGGTAGTCGTAATACGAATGTTAGATCGAACGATACAGGATGTAATTCTCCCTTCTACGAATAATCGTCTACCGAAAATACTTTATTCTTTAGCGTATACGATATAAAGTCGAAAATCATTTTTTAATTAAAAATTCTCATTCCGATCCGTCTATCCTACGCAGAGTACGAAATCTGTGATAGATCCAAGAACGCAGGATGAAATTTTAGTTTCTATGAATAATCGTCCACCAAAAATACTTTATCGCTTTATTCTTTAATGTATACGATCCAAGGTCGAAAATCATTTTTTAATTAAAAATTGTCCGTTAAAAATTCTCATTCTGATCCGTCTATCCCACGCAGAGGCATCGCGCGTATGAAATTGGAAGCATGGACTGTTCCTAAACACGAAATACCGTTCTATATTTTTAAACGGACCAGGGAAGTCGGGCATTTGTCACTCGGTGGAAAAGATAGTTTAGTCGAGGGAGTGCACGCGGAAAGCAAATCGGCTGGCTCGAGTCTCTCTCTCTCTCTCTCTCTCTCTCTCTCTCTCTCTCTCTCTCTCT